GATAATGTTGCACAGAGCATCAACACTACAATTGGATTTTCTAATGGCACACTCATTTATATCTGTAAACTCAAAGCAACCGATTTAGTAAGGAAAACCCACTAGGCACGTTACTACATTATAGGGTTGAATATATTTTTTATTTAGTTTCTTCAGCACTTTAGTTGGCTGTTCCGTCGGCACACTCGTTTAAATCTGTAAAGTTCAAGGCAACTGACTTAGCAAGGAAAACCCCTAAACACGTGACTAATTTGATCATTTATAGGGTTGAACACGTTTTTTTCTTTAATTTTTATTCCTTTGTTCGTCAAGATAATTAGGGTTCTGGTCTAGTTCACCTTTGCATGTCCTTCCATCTCCAGAATATCCCGATTTACACGAACAGTTGTAGGAACTTTCAGTATTGTTGCAAACAGAATGTTTACTGCATTCTTCTGTTCCTCATCGACATCTACAAATTAGATCGTCATCATCGCGAATGTAAAAATAAAATGTAAACAAACAAATTGACACTTGCGTGGGATCCGACATGATAGTCTTACAATATTGGAGCAGCTCTCTAACCAAGAGATAAATAAATAAATAAACTTTAATAGCTAACATAATTACTGGTAACCCAGTAGTTTACTTTGTGCGCTGTATTAAAAAGAATTATAAAAACTAGATTATTAAGAACAGCATGCACATGATATGTTCCAAACGTTTTAGAAATAGTAAAATGTTCGCGATCTGAATTACTTTTTAAAAAATTGTGCACTAAAAGATTCTCAACGTTGCTTTCATCTGTAATAGTTTTAAATTTGTCGTCCAGACGGTTCCATAAGTGGCACTTGCATGAAATGTTCGAAGGCCTGCGTTGGAGCAACATTTCGGCACGGCCAGATGATCGTGAAAAGAAGCTCGCGTATTATATGAATGGGTCTTTTTTACATAAGATCTATAGCTCGTAAAATAATCCGGACACTCTCCGTTCACAATTTTAAACACTATGCACAATTTCTTCATACATATTACATCATCAGTGGGGATTCACTGTAGTTTCTCGAACATTTGAACCGAGTTATCGTGGAAACTAGCATCTAATATTAACCTACTACAACGTTTCTGCACTCTAAGTATTCTCAGCAGTTGATCGTTAGGGGCGTTACCCCAAACCGAACAGCAATATTCAAAGACAGGCTTAGTAAGCGCATTCAATAACAATTTTCTGCAGTGGAGGTCAAGGAAGCTATTCGCCCCCTTTAGCAAATAAATTCTAGAGTTCAGCTTCCCAATTAAATATTCGATGTGGTTGTGCCA